TTAGCTATAATTGATAGTTTAGATAATTTCCATTGCTATCTTCTTCATGGATCTCATTTCACAGTTCATACCGATCATAATGTATTAGTTTGACTTAAAAATTTCAAAATTCCCACGGAAAAACCTTTTTAGATGGTCTTTAAAAGTTTCTATGTATGATTTTGATATGAAATATAAGAAAGGTAGCACTAATATTGAAGCTGATAAGTTAACAAGAAATCCTATTACTTATCATATAATTCACGCACCCCAGAACCTTTATTAGATATCAGCGTGAAATAAGCTATTTCAAATATAGAAGATATATCAGTTCCTAAAATGTTTTGAGAGTTGGTGTTTTTGTAGTAAAAAGAGACAAGGCTTTAGCTAAAATAAGAGTACCCAAAGTCCTAAGAGTGAAGTTAATGAAAACAACTCATGAAAAATTTGGCCATCCAGGTATAGCTACCATGTTAAAATTAATATATCACCACAATATTATTGGATAAACATTATTACTGATATACGAAATTATGTGAAACACTGTGAAACTTGTCAAATAAATAGTCACATCAGAAAAAATACGGACTGATGCAATCACTTCCCCTTTGTGAAAAACCCTTTGAACTTTTATCGATTGATAGTGTAGGTGGATTAAATTATTAGAACTCTGTTAAAAAATATTTGCACATTATTATTGATCATGCAACTAGGTACATTTGGACTTTCCCATCAAAAAATGCAACATACTCTTATATAAATTGTTTAAGACAAATCTTTCAGAATCATATACCGGAAGAAATTTTAAGTGATAGAAATACTGCGTTCACCTCTTTAAAGTTTAAGCATTTCTTAAGACATAACAATATCACTCAATTGTTAACTACTTCGTACAGATCACAAACCAATGGTGTAAATCAAACCATCATTCCCCGCTTAAAGTGTGAAGTTAGTAACAGTTCAAGTAAAGTTCTATGGACAAAAATTCTGGAAAAAGTAACTTATCAGTATAATCAAACTCCACATACAATAACAGGTTTCCCTCCAACCTTCTTAATGTATAGTAATTTACCTTTTTAAATTTCACTGAGAGATAATGAGATATATCCTCCCATAAAAGAAGCAATAAAATTATCCAAAGTAAGAACCGAACAATATTATAAATTAAATAAAATTAGATATGATAAAAAATTTCAGGAAGCTGATTTAAGGTTGATGTGACTGTATGAGAAATTTCAGCACCCCAATACAAGGAAATTAAGTTTCCCTTATTCAGGCCCTTATACCGTTTTAAGAAAATGTTCTGATGTATTATTTGAAATAGATAGACCTAATGCCCTAAATAAAACTAACACACACTGAATTGTTTCACTCAGTCCGCTTAAGACATTTTCATCCATCTCAAAATTTTCAGTTGAATTACATTCAACACACACAAAATACCCATAATAAAGAGAATAAGAAAATAACTGAAAGAAACCTCTTACGTAATACAGAAATAACTGAGTTCTGCTTAACAAGACTTTTCGGCGAAGAAGAAAAATATATATGATATGATATTTAATTTTTATAATCTAGTTGTGTTAAATGAGATATTCTTTATATTTTAATTGAGAAAACAAAGTGTATAGGTTTTGTCATAGAAAGTTTTGTGAGAAATGTAATATACTTCAAATACATTTAACTTAAGATTTCGAATAACATTTATGATAGAAATTGCTGTTTTATAGTTGAAAGATAAAAATTAAGTTTTTAGAAAAATGACTAATGCAATAATACTAGTGATATTGATTTTTATAAAAAACAAAACTAGAGTCACGTTCCATTCTTTTTTCTCCACTGAATTTTATTGTTTTGTTAATTATTTTATTCAGCAGTAACCTTATTGTATGTCATTTATTTTTTTTATTTTGAAATTGTGTGTTTTGATATACCGGCCATATATCAAGATTCACTATATATATATTTCACGAAATTTTCCTTATCTAAATTTAAAATTAACTTAATAACTTGGAGCTTATCTTTTGGTTATTATACAGTGGATAAGGGAGATTACAATCATTATAATTTTTTATATGTTTTGAAACGTTAAGAGGACAAATGTGTTTAAATTGGTATGTACACCTCTTACTGTTTTCTTATTAGCATCCCTGAACATCTGTGATTTGATCACGCAGATTTCTCAGAGATATGTGTTCAAAAATAAGTAGTGTGATATAGATTATATAAGTGAATGTTTGATGTAAGAGAACGTCAAGAATTTTGTCTATGAAACGAATACTTAGAAGGTTACGGAGAGATTAAAAATATTGTATGCGCGATATTATTAAGTTACAGTGAATATTGCGAACTCTCATATATTTTTTTATTTCTATATTCTTATAATTTTTATATTCTTATATTTTATAACGCATATGAAATAAAATATTGTTTATTGTGTTGAATAGTGTCCATATAAGTTGTTGTACACCGTTTTCATATAATTAATAATTTCATTTTATTAGTGTCTATATTTCTTTACCTTTTCAAAAAATGTATTTCATATATGCAGAATGTTGTGTATTACTACGATGACGCCAGAGTAGATTTTTATACAAAATTAGTATTTTAATATTTGTATGATACCATGTATTTTTATATCTATTATCTTATTGTTTGATATGATATTATTTTACAATATAAATTTTTTTTTTTGAAAACATTATCTGCTAGCTATAATACGAATCTATTATTATGAAGAAATAGAAGGAAACACGAGCTCTTATTCTGGATGTCAAATAGATTTGAACAATCTAATCCTCAGTTATATGTACGGAAGTTCATTTTTATCAATTAATATTTTGGAAGTGTCATTATATACTGTGTTTGTTGTTATAGTTTCGTTTATTTTAGAGCAATTTGATTTTAGTATTCATTTTACATAAATATTTCTACTGTGTGTAATATACGTCTCCAAATGATATTATGTATTGTTTTCTATATGCTGAAAATTGATTAAGTTTGTAAAGAGAGAAAAAACCATGCCATTACTCCCTTTTAAAATTGGGG